TTTAATTTTTAAATATAAATTACAACTGTAATTATTTTTAAGAATCGAGACTAATACATACATATTCTAAAATTATAAGTAGTAAAAAAAAAACCAAAAATATTACAGTATTGTTTTTTTATTCAATTACAGTATTATTATATATGTATGGTCTGTCATCAAATGTAAGTAATTAGCAAAAGTGAACCGTTAGAATGTTATTCCAATGGCAATAAGGCTTTTATTCAATGCTTGAAATACGTGCTGGACAGGATTTAGGTTCAAACCTCCTCGTTTTATTGGTAGTTTGACTGCTAAAGCACAGTCAATACATACACATTCCCATTAATCATATCTAGATCCGGCGTGAGCTCTGAAACTCACTTCCTGGCTTCTCTTTTTTCGTTAAGAAATTCTTGGCTTCTCTTGTGACAATAAGCAGGCATCTTGTCCCTTGGTGGTAGGTTGTCTTTGATCACTGAGTGGTTGAGAAACCTGTTGATCCATGCGGCTGTAGCCGGAAATTGCAGAGGGTCTAGAATTTGAATTGAACCAACTTCCTCATAAACAGGGAGCCAGTGAGTGATCCATCCTGCTGCAATGTCTAGATACCCAATGTTGCTCCCCTCATCCTCTCCAAGGATCTGCTTCCCTTTGAATACTTCCTCTTCCATCTTTTCCAAGGCTTCTTTACATTGTTCTATGTACGTTTGCTTTTCCTCCCCTTCGGAGCACAAGGCATTCCACGCAATTCTTAAAACCTGTAACAGGATACATATATGGTACTGTAATGCTAAGTATCTGGTTTTTCAATTCAAACAGCAAAAAAAAAAAGTGTAGTCCAAATAGTGAAATTATCGAAGTAACTTTAATAAATTAAGGTTTAAGTACCATTTTGGTCCCTTAACTTGTCACTTTGGTACCAAAATTGTCCCTCACCTTTAAAAAGTACCAAAATTATCCTTAAACTTTCATTTTCGGTACCAAAACCATCCTTCCGTCAGTTAAATGACAGGTGGCACGTTATCTTGCCACA